AAAGTCTTAAATTTGACTTGAAGACAGATGTAAAAAGTGCCATGTATTTTCCAAAGTTTTTTAAAGCAATTCATACTATTTAGTAGAAAAGTAAATGGCATGAAAGCTTAGAACTTGAATGTGGGTCCAAACTGTATAAAGAAGTGGACTAAGGGAGTCTGATGTCACCCATAGTGTTCGGTTCCAATCAAATGAAGCTCACAATGCTGGCAGGTATAGGGGCAAATTTGGAGCCTTAAATTCCATATTTGGAATGGGGGTTTATTTACGGACAAAATATTGAAATGAAAACACAAGGATAATGTAGAGCAAACAAACATTTTAATGGGACAGTCTGGAAGTTTGGACATAGGACCTCATTTCCTAGTTAGTCAAAGAGTTGAAGACGTGTGGAGACATTTTTTTAAAATATTCCATCCAGTCCTTGTATTTACAGAGGTCGCTGTACACAGTGTACAAAACAGCACATATGTTTCGGTGTCCAGTGGGAAAAAGCTTTGCCAGGTGAGAGTAGCACAATGTCGATGACGAGTCCCCACCTCCCCCCCTCTGTACGGTGTCCTGGTTTAGACCAACGCAAATATGGTCACACTAACCTGTATTCCACTGAGTCGTGCTGCATCAGCGCACAAGAGCCGTTTTTTTTCTTTGCTTAATTTATGCAAATTATTATTATTAACATGCGGTTTTAAGTTTCGTTTCTGTGAGAGTTTAGCAAAGCTGCATTAAACACATTATAATCTCAAACGGGATGATGTGGCTCTAGAGTGGTTACAGTTTATATGTCGTAAAGTTAAATTTATTTATGCAGATTAGTAGTGCAGATAGTAATAATAATGATGATAAATTTTAATATAAAAAACGTGAATGATTAATCGATAATCGATCGTTAATTCTCCCGACGATCGATTAAGAAAATTTAATCAAATGCCCATCCCTAGTCTCCACACGTCTCCAACACTCTGGCTCACTAGGAAATGAGGCCCTATATCTAAAATTCCAGACTGACCCTTTAAGGCTAAAATGACTAGGCTCACAGCAGCAGTTACAGAGAGAGGGGTAACAATTTTTCAATGTAAAAAGTCGATGGAGCTGGAAGCACCTCCATGAACTCTTGGAACTTTTGGCAGATGGCGAGTTAGCTATGTCCATTTATTTATATATATATATATATATATATATATATATATATATATATATATATATATATATATATATATAGTCTATGGTCCAGGCACAGTGATAAAGTACAATACAAAACGAAATAACACATTTAATTTCCAATGCACAAATTCCATGACATTGTTCCTTTAATGTGAGGTAATCCATGTAACATCGAGAGGACAGGGAACTGCAAACATGTATCCATCCTTTGGAAAATTAATCTCAAACAGCATAATAATTTAATTTAAGATCATTAATGATAAGGCTAATTAGCCCTATCCTGATATCTTTCTTCCAAACAAAGTCTAATTATTCCATCTTAATTAAAGCCATGTGTTATGTAGACTAAAGTCATTGATAGTTATAATCTCTTTGTACCTGCTCACTGCTGCCTGACCCTCAGTGTATCCACAGACTTAGAGCTGCTCTTCATGTCTCATTAGGACTGACAGGAGCTAATATAAGGGGACATCAGCCGTGACCACTCCCCTCCGCTCCTCGAGATATGTGTACATTTTGCCCACTCGTTTAATGAAATGGCCCGAGCTGTAGCCATCATCTAATTGTGCTGTTCATTAAACTTGTATCACCGGCAGGAGCACAGAACCCAAATGGCTCCTGATCTTAATCGTGACTGAAGGAAATGAGTTCCCAGCACTGGCTCTCTCTCTAGATATTTCCATACAGGCTGCATTCACTTGGCATCTATACAATACTTTATAATGCTTTTGTGAACCAGATGGCAAGGCTTTTTATTTGATTGAATGTGTTTTTGTAATGACTGATTGAGTTGTATTTTTCCCTGCACCATGTCTGTAGAATATCAAGACCCTCTGATCATGTTTCTTTTAAATGCTCCACCCTTTTGTTTGTACCACTCCACTCTGCTCTCACATGACGCTAAATGTGAATCAGTTTGTTCGTCTTATTAATATGCCTCATGTAATGATGCATATGAAAACCAATCAGAGCAGTAGTGGAGGAGCAGTCTTAATAACTTGCTCCCTTTGGTTATACATACGCACTCTTACGCACTCTCATAGGCCTCAATATGCTGGTTTAAGCACTATCCTCTTATTTGCATTTGACTTTTACATTACCAGGTCCATGCACCGGAGCTGTGGTTTTCACGCTGTTTGTCTCAGTCCAGCTCTGGGGCCAATCATGGCTTGGTGAATTTGTGTGGCCGGCAGCACGCGTATTGAAATGTAATGCTTGGTCACCAGAAATTTTAATTTACATAGATTTTAAATGGCTTCACGATCGAGATGGGAATTGCAGCCATAAACAGATTCCATTATTAAACGCAGAATGGTCACAGTTCAGTGGTGTTTAAATGAGCATTTAAATACAGTGAAACGTTTGTGTATTTTTCACAGCCATTGGAATAACTCATACTATCAAACTATGAATGCAGATACAATTAAAGAGGGGGTATTTTACTTCTATGGGGTATTAACTGCTAAGACATAACACATAAAGATCACCATGTTACCTTTTTATTGTTTTGAAAATGCTTTATTTACAGAAAAATAATGTATTAACGTTGAATAAGTTTCCGTTTTGTTTTTCACGCTCTGAATCTCGCCTGCCTTTGCTCTTCGCTCCAAGTCACTCACTACAGTTTAGTATCATGCTTTTGTATATTTATGGAAAATTGTCCTGTGGGAGCATGGCTGACGTAGGCTTGTGGGCTGAGTATTGGACAGAATCTTACTGCTAACTGTACAGTAAGGAGGGTTTGAATAGGGCCTGGGAGAGATCACTAAATTACTGAAACACGCATGGATGACATCTAAAACCTCTTCGGGCATGGAAGAAAACAAAAAAAAACAACATAACAACAATTAAGTTCCTATATTACACATAACTGACTCTTGTGTTTGAATAAATCTTTATGATTACTGGTTGTATGTCTGTATCGCGAAAGCTCATAATGCTCTTTTCCACCTTGTGATGTCATGAAGTAGTTTTCAAGTTAACGGTTACCTTTTCACCTTTAATTCAGGAGAGAGTGTTTACTGTTTGGGAGAAGAACTCGGCCTAAAAATGCAGAGTTTGTGTGAGTGAAACAAAACTAAACTCCAGGTATGTTTGTGATGAGGAAAGAACATTATAACATAGATCAGAAAATAGCATAATATTGGCCCTTTAACAAATTAAATCATAATACATTGCGATAAGTGAATCCAGAATGGAACTTATGATAACACTGGACCCCATCCTCCTCTCTGTTTGACCATACCTGTGCTCTAAGTATACTGTATGCACTACTCTATCTACAGTGTGTGTTTGAAGCAGTGTATCTGGGGGATCAATCAGAGTCATGAGCCCGTGCCCTTGCAGCGTGTCGAGAGTAAAGAACCGTCTTAAATAATTCAGCCTCTGCCCATTTGAGCTCAACTCACTTTCACACCAACAGCGCAGGCTCAGCAGTGAAGGCTTGTACTGTTAAATATAGTGAAATATTGTTAAGTGGTTAGACATCATATTCTGCTTACCTAGTTCTAGCCACAGCTTCTGTTGGATTGCTTGCTCTGCACTATTCCACGTAGTATAAACCCATGCGCCTAATCTAAATAAACTAGGATAGAAAAGCTTTATGTGTTAATCCATGTGTTAATACCAAATGGAAGCTGATACTAAATGCCGTTTTCCAATTCCATCTCATGCAAATACTACCATAATATTGCCACGACGGCTATAGCTCAAGTCTTAAGCGAAACTAAACCAGGTCTGAAATTGGTCTAAACCAGGAGAAAATTTCGGAATTTTCTGTCTACTGAGCCGAAGGTTGGTGGTTCGAATCCCGCTTTTGACATAAGGTTGTGTAGTAGAGCAGTCAGCTGTTATTGTGCCCTTGGGCAAGCCACTTAACACACCTTGCCCCCAGTATCTGTGGTTTATCAATGGTTTATGAATGTGTGTGTGTGTGAATGGGTGAGTAGTTTCTTGATGTAAAGTGCTTTGAAAGTTGAAAAGTGCGATGTAAAATTGTATGTACCATTTAAATTTTGTGTAAAGCAAGCCTTACCACCAGAAAGAGCCCACATACACTTACCTCAGTTTAAGTCTCTGATCTATAGAGTAAGTTGCAGTTGTTCATTCATTGTATCACAAGTTGTAGTTGGAGCTATTGTAATGCGTTTTTCAATGGTTTAACAAGAAATGATACAGACCATTTAGTTAACAAGTTGATATATTTTCAATTTCTACACATCATTTAAAGGGCAAATTTAAATGCTAATGGAAATTCTCAATTTGCCAAATTACTCGGAAGGAGGCTGGACAGCAACATTTGTCGTAGGCAGATAAAAGCGTAGCTGCACTTTGGCCATATTTTTGACTAAAGTCCAGCAACTCCCCAGTTTAGCTTTTTCATCCCTCGCTCTCTCTCCAGCTGCTACCTCTGTGTGGACCAGTGCGTCTCCTACAAATTGACCTTCAGCCGGAGACCATTTGGTCCCATTTATTATGATAAATATCACCATCTACGCTCTAATTATCAGCTCTCCGAATTAAGGAGGTGGTCGTGGACGTGCCTGCCACTGAGTCTAGGATGTTGGCAAACTGGATGTGACAGGTTCATCCAAATTGAAATGTCAGCCGTCATGTTAATATCCCAGAATCAGAGCCGAAGCATTGGGGACTATTTTCACCAATCAAATGACCTTTTCACTCTCCACTCTCCTTATTGTTTTTCATTAATTCTGCGGTAGCTTTTGGCACATTTTACCTCTGGACTCACGGCTCTCCCCCCTCCCTCTCTCCCTCTTTCTCTCTTTCACTCTCTCACTCCCTCTCTCACTCTCTCTTCCACTCTCTCTCTCACACAGTGAAATGAAGCAGGAGCTCGCGGAGGAAGGCAGCAGATGCTCAATCCTGTCCAAGCAGCACCGATTCAACGAGCACTGCTGTATCCGCTGCTGTGCGCCCTTCACCTTCCTGCTCAACCCCAAGCGCCTGTGTCTGGACTGCCAGTACAACGTGTGCAAGGGCTGCTGCTCTTACAACAAGAGGGACAAAGCTTGGCTGTGCTCCGCGTGCCAGAAGGGCAGGTTAGTGCACTTGACATTCCCACACACACAACCACACAGCATTAGAGTCATATCACTACTGGAGTCAATGAGAGAAGTGAATGAGAGGACAGTGTAGTGCAAGTGTGCTGACGGCAATGATAAAAAAGAGACACTTAGCAAAGAATATAGGAAATTTTATGGGAATGTAAAAGTAAATTATTTAAATACATAATTTAGTTTATAGATTAGCATATATTCCTCTGTAAGGGCATTTCATTTTGATGTCTGTATTACTTGTAAAGGGAAGAATATGAGACCACTTTGAGCGAAAATAAATTGAAGGTGACTACTGAAGTGGTGAATACACGCTGGAAAATGAGAAAAGGACACTTTCAACACAGAAGGGAGGACAGTTAATCAGACATGCTGTTTTTTCATCAACATCTGTGAGACATACAGCTAGCACTGAATTGACTGCAATCACATTATATCATTTTTACAGTACATTTTTGACAAGCATGTTATAGAGACGGCTCGCTTTCAATATATTTTTCTCCATTAGAACTACAGTGGGAGTTTTTGCCCGGTTAAGGTAACATTATTTTGACAGACTGAAATAGTGAATCACCTAAGTAGTACTGGTTGTCATGGAGTCTATTTTTGGATCGCAATCTGAATTGTTTGCCTTTTGGGACAAATTTACTCTGCGCACATCAGGCTCTAAAAAAGGTGTTGACCGAGCATGCTCCATATTGCTGTCCGCCCCTCACCTATTCTTTAACCTGATTGATTTTCACTGTGTTGTATTGAGTTAGAGGACCTTCGTTTCTTATAGTGCACATTGGGGTTGGTAGGAGGAGGTTGAAGAATGGCATTGGAAATATCTGGTTGGGTTTGCATTCATCACTTTCCTGTCAGACTTCTGCTTTTTCCCACTGCTGTTCTTTGGGTGTGTGCCCCTCTGAGTGTGTGCGCCTGGGGCTTGGTAATGTTCTCATTAGACTGAATCACAGATGGGCCACATGTCACAACATTGCCATTTACCAGCTTCATATAAATAAATACACCACTTTCAGTCAGAGAATTAAACAGCTTAAGCCTGATTTTACCCTGAATTACTCTCTCATGTTATTTGTGGAAATTGAGTTAAGACTTGACAGATATTTTCCTTTAAGCTTTTCCATTGTCATAGCAAAGCATATATTTACAGTGATTTGCATGTTGATTTTGAACAGCATTATACGTCAGATGCTTTACATGCAAAGATGCAATGTGTAACTACTGATGGAGGGTCTACCACCTGCTTGTCTCCATAAAGATGTTGTTTTGCCTAAAAAGTCCCACAGTTATGGTATGAAGACAAGCAGTGGATGGCACCAGGCTAAGTTACAGATCAGATCTGTGGAGAGATGATGCTTCTCACAGAATTCATGTTTTTCAGTGTATTTTTTTGCAGTAAAAACTTAATGCCTAACTTGAAGTATCCCAGAAAAAGCAATCATCACCGGAAAAATTACATAAAGCAAAAATTAACCAAGCATAAGAAATTACACTGATGTGCGCCGTCTGAAGGATAGATTGCTTGCTTATTAGTCATTTTCTTACTTAAGGTGCAATTTATTTTATTTTTTTTATGCAAATGATCCAATCTTGTAGTGGGCATTCATCTTTTTATGAATCAGTGTATTAATATTTTGCCCTCACCTTCTCACTATCTTTGCTTTTTGGCTCTCCTCTAGCCTCTCTGGTTAAATTTAAATGTAAAATCAATTCAGCAGACGGACAAATGAGCCCATTCGCATGCCCCGGCTGTCCGTCAATTCACAGGAGCTTGGCCACACTGCTCACCAGTGATTTCTGTTGACGGGAAGCAGATTTGTAATCATTATGCACTTGGACACTGGCTGAAGCGGCCCCCTCTTGTATGTCATAGCAGCGGACACATGGAAGAGCCCACTGCATGTTGGGACCATCTGCACTTACAATGGCGCAGTGGTGATTAATTGCAAGGGAGCAGGATTGATGTGTACTGTTGGCGAGGTGGGGACAGCTGGTATATGACTAGCAAAATGATTCAGCAGATCTGACACATTTATTTTGCTTAAAAAACATTATCTTCACTATCAGCTGTCTGCCCTGAGTAGCCATGACAGGCATGACCCTGCTCAGTCTGGAAGGATTAGCGGTGTCCTCGACTTGTTATCCATAAATTGCTTTGTTCCCAGAGATACACAGTGAGATCGGTCAAAACATTTCAAGTGCTGCTCCTTCATTCTGGATGTTTATGCTGTATATCTATACAGTGAAGATACTCTGGTGACACATAGGAGGGAGAGGGGGGAGACTTTGGGGGAGGAGGATGGTGAATGTCAGAGAATGAAGCCGCCTAATCCAGCCACAGGGAATAGCATGTGAGAGTATTTCTACGCCAGTTTTAAGCCTGAATAAATGAACCAATGAGGCAATTCTTTTGTTCTTGGCAACATCATTATTCAAAACCTGAAAGAATAGTTTTACTATATGCTTAAAGATGCATTATGTAACTCCACTGTTGGAGAATCTGTGACCTGCATGTCTCTGTGAAGATGTAATTACATTGCCTTGAATATTTTACAGTAAGGCATTAAACCACTTTATCTCACATGTAGACCTATTTGCAAGTGTTTTTATTGCTCAAATATACCTAAAAATACCAATAATGTGAGCATCATGTACATAGATAAGTTTAATGACATACTGACATTCCAGACAAAGCATCCATCTCCATGGGGACAAGTATCTGGTAGAGCCTCTGCCTGAAAAATGACATAGTGCACCTATGGACTAGAGCGACTTTAATAAGTGCAAAATAAGTCTATCCAAAATATCAGCATGAAGATCCTGTAGTATGGTGTAAAAAAGCTCTGCAACATACTTACACTGTTACATTTTGTTACATCATGTGTGACACTGTAGTTATCAATTGTAGTGTAAAATGAAGCGTTAAAATAGAAAAAGAGCAGTCTTCTTGTCTTAATTACCCCAGCAGAATATGATCTTGTATTTTATCTTTAAATTTGTTCCCCTTGCTGACTTTTGCTGACTATTACACTGCTTCCTCTCTGCTCCACCCTTTTGCTGTTCCTTTTGCCTCCTTTTTTCTCTATATTTCACTTGTCACTCGGCACCTCCCTCTACCTGATGAAGTCAACATTAGCATTTGAGCTGCAGTGCCTCTCTTTGCTTAAACCGCAAAAACACCAACAACTGTAATGTTCCCTATAGACCCCACAGGCCTTAGCACCACATGAATATACTGTCTGCTTATACTCTTTATACCACGTCAAGCTGTTTTTAATCCTGCACTCCGGCATTTCACTGGGATTATGGCATCTGCTTGTCAATAATCTATAACATTAGTGCTTTTCAAATGTATACATACAGTATGGTATGCAAGCTTGCACATTTTTGTCCTGCTTTGGTTTAATGCTTGTTTACAACTACTATAGCAATAGCAATAGACCTAATTTAGACTGAGGATAGTCCTATTATAGACCTGGTGGTACTTGGAAGCAAATTCTTTTTGTCCAAGTGGTGCTTTGTGTGAAAAGTTTTAGCCACTGGTTTATAATGCAGTATGAAAAGAGATGGACCCTTTAGGCTTGATTTATATTGTTCTCCGAAAATGCTGTTGAACCTTTTTTAATCAGGTCTATTGTGGCGTGGCGAGTTACACTATTACATTAACTGGTTGTCAAATTTTAAATGAACTCCAAGAATACCAACCACGCACAGCATCTTGGTGGTGCAACATTGAAAATCTGCTCCAGTCCTCCACACACATACATTTTTAATAATTTCTTTGCTCTCATCAAAAGGCCAAGTGGGGGGAGCTGATTGGCTGAAAGACCTCAGGACATGAACTAACAAGCACCCAAGCCTGTCACACTGAGGATGCAGGGGCTTTCTGGTTCTTGTAAAAGTGATAGCGTATATTGGACTGTGATTTACATCTACAGAAATCTTATAAATGTCACCAGAATTTATTGTTACAAGTGTTAGCTCCAGGGAGATTAGATGTTTAAGTATTTTTGTGCCGAATGAGGAACGATCGGCGGAGAAGGGCAGGAGTCATCACAGGCAAAGAGGTTTTTCCAATATTGTTTATTGGTTGAGTTGTTACGTTATGGAGATAGACAAATAAGAAATGGTCAAATTTAGTGGATGTTTTTATTATTTCTTGGGATAAATATTTTATTAAGCCTGTGATTAAATGAAACAAAGCATTTACACCTAAACTGAAATACCCAGTCATTTGTTAAGTTATGATATTGATTTTATGTCTGGACCTTGATTAAATGTACTGACTTACACTTAAATTAATAGTTAATGTCTAGAGGACTGTCGATTACAATTGAACTGGCCAAAATAGCTACTGGCTGTGTTTGGCTAGTTGACTACTACTAGATGGAGCATCTACTCCAGAATTAGAATATAATAAAAGACCTATATTACACAATTGACCCTTGACACACCTGGAATTGTGTTTCGTTTCATTCATACATGTTTGAGTAACCCTTTATTATTAGTCTGTCTTCATCTCCATAGATGATGTCATGAAGTGGTAATTTTAACAGTAAAATTTAAGTAAAGCTAACAGCTACCTTCTGCCTTTAGTCCAGTAGAGATTGTCAGTGCTAAATGCCATCTATCAATATAGATGATTCTAGTGAACATGTATGAAGTTTAAAAACACAGTGGAGCACTTCCTGTATTACCACATGACATCACAAGGTGGTACAGAACAGTTTTTTGAAGAACACAGGAAACAACATTATAACATCAGAAAGATCAGAAAATAGTATAATGTGGCCCCTTTAAAATCCATTATGCAGTTCATTAGGCAAAACAACAACACCAGTGAAATAAACCATGAAATCTGGTTGCTCACAGTCACACACCTACTGCAAGAATACAAGTCACAAAGACGTTTTATTTTTGTCCCCTCTGCCACACTGTAGTATTTTTATCTTTGTCTTTTAGTGAAGTAGTTCTGATTG